ATAACTTTGCATAAGCAGCTGTCCACTTGGTACACCCAAGATCTTTCCATCTGGTCAGCAGGCACCAGGTTGAAATCCCCAGCTCTTCAAGGGTCTTGCTTGGCCTGGAGAATGGGGCAAGTGCTCATGACTTTGAGGCTTTGAGGCTCAGGATGCTGGAGTAATGGGAGACCTCAGGTTTGGAGGGTGACATTTGTTTTAATTCAATTCTCATAAAGTTAAATAAACTTTAGGCTTGGGAATATAAATTTTGCTTAGAACTTTGACTCTGGAAAGCAGGCATTAAAAGTTGCAGCTCATATCCCGAAAAGGAATGTCCTGAGGGAGATTCATTTGGAACAGAGGTGATCTGTGTATAGAAATAAACTGATGAATGTCTGACCTTTGTGTGATTTTGAAACAGAATTTCAATGATCATTTGTAGCAATTAGCAACAGGGTAAGGAGACTTATTAAAGTGGACTTGAGAATTAGTGAAATGGAATTTTGCAAAATGAAACTGGAATTAAAGTGCTATTTGAGAAGAGGTACTCTGCAAGCAAGGCCTTATTTTATTTATTTATTTACATTTTTATTAATTTTTTAATTACATGTATACAATTCATACTGACCACTTGCATCCCCCACCTTCCTCCCGCTCCTGTCTACCCCCTCTTCTCCATAAATGTCTCTCTTGTTCATGTCTTTTCATTTTGTTTTGTGACTGCTGAATTTCACTCAGGCTTCCTGACAGTCAGAGGCTACCCTGGGGTCATCCATTCCGAGCCAGACCTGCTGCTGCCACCCAGGGCCCTACCAAGCTGTGATGGATTCCCCCACGGAAGAAAGTCACTGCCTGGAGGTGGCTGCTGAGGAGCATGCTGGCTTTCCGGTGTTAGATTTGTGGCAGAACCAATTTCTACAAGGAAATAAGGGCATTAGTGCAGAGCTCTTTGAGGAGGCCGCTATTTAGGTGTGTTCTCCTTCCCCGTGGTCCATCCCTGCCTGTGCTGAGCTGCTATATGACTCTTTACTTCTGTTGTTTTTGACACAGGGTTTTACTTGGTACTCCAGGCTACCTGCCTCAGCCTCCCAAATGCTAGGATTACAGGCATGAGCTACCAAGCCCAGAGGGGCCATGTTTTTGAAAAATGACAGGCCAAGGATTCCATAAACATCTTAACGTAAGCTACTTCCACCAAACCCATCTACTAAAAAACCTCCAAATAGTTACAATTTGATCTTTGCTTCTATTATACTATGAGGCTCTAAAGGGGCTTTTTTCACAAAGCAAGGGAGAAGGCAGTTGCATTTGTGAAAGTATTGCTTACTGGTGAGTTTTCATTCCCACTGGATCCCCACAAATTCCCTGGGAAGGACAGGCTATGCTTGTCACCAGTGTGACAATTGTGATGACAAATATATGCAGTGGGAAGGAATTACAGGGACTCAGCAGGCAGGACATGTGAGATTCTTGGTGACAGCAGCAAAGGGAGATGTGGGGAAGGGTCAAGGAAGACTTTCCAGAAGGGGCAGAAGTTGGGTGTATGTGAAGGACGGGTTGTCTGACCACTAGAGAAGCACTGAGTTTGTCTACATAAGGGATCCTCATGGAAATAGTGTCTGTCGGTGCAAGATGAGAGTTGAGACCCTCAGAAGAAGTGTTCAGGATGCCTCATGCCCTAAGCTCCCTCCTGGCTCCTTTGCTCCTTTGCTAGAGTGGACAGAAGGGCCTGGTTTCTTGCTTTTGCCACATGGAGCCTCCCTCCCCTGTGGCTCTGTGTTTGAACTATGGAAATGCTGAAGGTGCCCTTACTGTGGAAATAGTAAGAAGAGAATAAAGGACAAAAGGAATAAAGTTACTGAGACTCAGAGTGCTGGGATCAAAGGCTGTCATTCCACTCTGAAGCCCTAGAGGTGCTATTTACCTGGTCAATCTGTGGCACTCCTTACGCTATCTGAAGATGCTTAGGACATCTCTTCTGGATGGAGAGCCCTATAGGTGGGATACCCTATTAGTTAGTCACTCATGAAATACCACTGAAAACCTGCTTTTATTTCCCATCCACAAACCAAATAAGGGATAATTTCCCACTTTATGAGAAATTCTATTGAAATCAGACAACTTACTACACGCTGCTGGTGTGGGTCACAGTGGCTTCTTGGGTGCACATGACACACGCTGAAGCTTGAAGATTATGTCTATATAGGGTATTGCTCTAGCCTGGACTGGTGTGCTCCCCGCTCCTCCCCCAACTCCACATTTGGCCATCTGCTGAAGGCCTACCCTGTCATTCCATCTTCACAGAACAGGGCGGGTCAGATAATAAAAGTCCTCCCATTGGCTTCAGTCTTAGTTGGTCCTCCAAGAAAGCTAATCTTGCCTGACTAGTTACAGCTATGGAACTGACAGTTTGTGGAACTGTGATTGCTGAGTGTCAGTGGGCTGTGGTGTGAAGGTCACTTCACTCTTTTTGGCTTTGTTTTGTTTTTTTGAGACAAGGTCTCTCTGTAGCCCCAGCTGACCTGGAACTCATTATGTAGACCAGGCTGGTCTCACTTTTTAAGATGAAACCCAAGATTCAGACAGGTTAAGTAACTCAGCTAAGGTCACAGAACTTATGTGTTTAGAACAATGAATTTGCAAAAATCATCGAACTATTTAATTCTTTACAAAAGCTATCATGCATAATTAGAGACTGTGGGTTGATACAATATAAAAAGTATTGGGAGGAAACATTAGGACTCAGAAGGGTGATTTTTAAAATCATCTTATACAGAGGTCCACCTTGCATGTGCTTTATGTGTAGTATGCCTAGAAGGTGTCTAGCAGGGGAGGTTATTAAAGTCAGATTGTGTTAATAACTTCATTCTGAACTTCCAGACCTTTTCTTCAACTGGAGTGGGACAGGCCTTTGTGATAATGTATACTGCAAATAGGATGCTGTGTACAAGGCTGAATCCCTTGCCTGGAGCTCTTTGATCTACAAAGATTTATTTACTCTTTCTTAAAATTCAGATTCTGCCGTATTTATACAGGCATGTTTAAAAGTTAGGCCCAAATTATTTTGTTTAACCAGGGACTTTGTAGAGTGCCTGATCCATAGACGGCTGTCCAAAAATGTTGAAGAAGCAAATAACTTAATCTTCACATCTCTTAAAAGCAGCTTCTGGGGGAGCTGATCTTCTTTAAGGGAGTGAGTCTAAATAGGCCAACTAGACCCCAGTAGATGAACTTGCATTTAGGGACATCTGGGTACACTAACTGGACTTGATAAGCCTTAACATAAATGACAGAATGCATGAAATATGGTGGTGGTGGTGGGGCTATGGGCAGGTATGGATCGGGAAGGAGGTATAAAGATGATTAAGATGTTTTATATGAAATGCACAAAAATTCAATAAAAATACATTGAAGGAAAAAAAAAGTAAGGCATAGAATAGATTAGATATCACAAAATTATCCTCTGGTCTCCAAACGTGCCTGTACAGGTCACACACACACACACACACACACACACACACACATATATACACACAAACATATAAACACAAACGCAGAGAGAAAGGGAAATGCTGACTGCCCTAATGTGGTCATTATATACTGTATATATTCCCCATAAGTTTATATGATAAAATAAATTACTTTTTTGTAAAAAAGCAGCTTCTAAAGTTACCACAATCTTATGGATGTGTTAACAGAGACTCAGAGTTCAAACATCGTGCTAAAAGTTGCTGTGTAGTTAGCAGAGCCTGATTCCAAGGTGTAGAAAATTCCAGAGGGTCCATCCCGTTTGTAACCAACCTTACAAAAAAAAAAAAAAAATCACAGAAACTTGTTAGTGTTCTGGTGATTTCTCCTGCTTCAACATGAATTCCCACAGAAACCAAGGACTGGGTGATTAACCAGTAAGTGAAGGAAAATGCAAATAGTATTTGTCCCTCATTACATTTCTTCTTCCTTACAGTTCCCACAGTGGCTGGGATCCACTAGAACCTGAGGCCAAGGGGCAAGTGCTCAGCTGCCTTCTCAGCGCCAAGAAGCCAAAGTTGGTCAAGAGCTGCTTGCAAGTGTCATTCACATACCAGGTTGGCAACTGAAATCTTTTTCATGTGGCAATCAGAGCAGTTCCTTTTGCTGTAATTACCAGGCTGATTTGATTGTGCCTTTTCTCTCCTCCCCTCTCTTCCCTTCTCCTCTTTTTCTTTCTATTTTAAAATTATTTATTTGTTTTTATATGTATGAGTGTTTTGCCTGCATGTATGTAAGTGTACCTCTACAGGATGTTGGATCTTTTGGAACTGGAATTATGGATGGTTGTTAGCTGCCATATGAGTCCTGGGAACCCAGGTCCTTTGCAGGAGCAACCAGTGCACTTAACCTCTGAGCCATCTCTCCAGTCCCTCTCTTTCTTTTTGAGACAGGATCTCTTGTTGTGTAAACTGAGCTGGCCTTGAACTCAGAATCTTCCTGACTCAGTCTCCTGGGTGTTGGGATTACAGGTGTGCACCAAATGTAGTAGCTGACATTTAAGGGCTTTTTTTTTTTTTAGTCTTTTTGAGACAGGGTCTCCCTCTAGCCCCAGCTGTCCTGGAACTCACTGTGTAGACCAGGCTGGCCTTGAACTCACAGAGACCCACCTGCCTCTGCCTCCCAAGTGCTGGGATTAAAAGCGAGCGCCACCACGCCCGGCTTCAAGGGCTTATTTTAAGCACAAAATCCAGTCCTGTTTCTTGACCAGGAGTGCTGAGTGTTGAGTGACAGGTCCTAGCTTACTTTCTCAAAGGGAAGGATGGGGTTGGGTGACTACCCTGACATGGGACCCTCACATTTATAATTAGTTCAGCATTGAGGAAATCTTCCCATCATCAAAAAGGAAAGATTCAGTTTCCCCCTTCTCTTTCTGTTTCAGTTGGCGATTAAGCTTTAGAGGTCTTCCAAGTAGTCACTGCTTCTCCCTTGGGTGGACTACAGAAGCAACGTCAGTATTGCTGGCTCTGAAAACAGTGGTCTTCTTCTCCTTACTAGATGGCACTTGCTGTAGCAGCCCACTGAGGGCTCTTTCCCTTGGGATCTTGGACTTGTAAGTAAGACTTCAGACTGGGAAGATGCTGAGTTCCATCAAGTGCGTGTTGGTAGGGGACAGCGCTGTGGGGAAAACCTCCCTATTGGTGCGCTTCACCTCTGAGACCTTCCCAGAGGCCTACAAGCCCACTGTGTATGAGAACACAGGTGTGGATGTCTTCATGGATGGCATCCAGATCAGTCTTGGTCTCTGGGACACAGCTGGCAATGATGCTTTCAGAAGCATTCGGCCCCTCTCCTACCAGCAGGCAGACGTAGTTCTGATGTGCTACTCTGTGGCCAACCATAGCTCATTCCTGAACTTGAAGAACAAGTGGATCAGTGAGATCAGGAGCAACCTGCCCTGTACCCCAGTGCTGGTGGTTGCCACACAGACTGACCAGAGAGAGATGGGGCCCCACAGGGCCTCCTGCATCAATGCCATAGAAGGGAAGAGACTGGCCCAGGATGTGCGAGCCAAGGGCTACCTGGAGTGCTCAGCCCTTAGCAACCGAGGGGTACAGCAAGTGTTTGAGTGTGCCGTCCGTACTGCCGTTAACCAGGCCAGGAGACGAAACAGAAGGAGGCTGTTCTCCATCAATGAATGCAAGATCTTCTAAAGCCCATGACCCTGTATCCAACACTCATGAATGTACCTCAAAGACTAATGGGAAAGAGGGGAAAGAGGCAAGCCAGGAGGGTTGATGCTCTTTCTTGGCACATTTGTACAGCCTTTCCTTCTGGATAGAGTTGTCCATGAGGTTGGCCACCGAATGCTTTTACTAACTACATTCTACAGATGAACTCTGCCCAGCGCAACAAGAGAGCTCCCTTGGAAAGCCAAATGAATGGTCCTGTCTTGAATTAAAACCATCCTGATTTAGACAATGAAGTGAATTCTCCAAGCAGTCCATATTTAAGGACACATTTTATTTAAATAATAACCAAATATATAGCTCTTGTATATAGTCAGTTTTTACACCTGGGAAGCCTTTTGCTTGAAAAAGCAAACTACTGTATGAGGGAAATAACCTTGTGGGGCTCAGCCATGTGTCTGTAGAGTTATTATTTACTCTTGAATTTAATTTGGTTGAAACTACTTTTGTGCTGTGTTTTTCTCAGAAATCAAAATTTTAAATGACCATTAACCAATCCCTGCAATTCATTCCCCATTTCCTTGTTATTCAGAGTTGTGTATAAATACAGTTCCATAACAACATATTTTAATACTGCCATATGATTTTAAATAATTATCACTATTTTTCTCTGTAATTATATTTTTGAAAAGCATTTCTCTCCAGGTATGGCTGTGCACACCTTTAATCCCAACACTCAGGAGGCAGAAGCAGGTGGATTTCTATGAGGTTGAGGCCACCTTGGCTTATATAGTGAGTTCCAGGCCAGTTGGGGCTATGGGAAGATCCTGTCTCAAAAAAACAAAAACAAAAGCAAAAAAAAAAAAACCCAAAAAGCATTTTTTATTCATGATCTTACATGCCACTCAAAGAACTCCAGTAACATACTAAGCATTCCTCTCTCACTCACCAAGTCAGATGGAAGGGGAACATTTTGGCTAGAGTCTCTGTGCAAAGTGAAAGCAGCAGAATGCAGGGGCCACTTCTTGCTTTCTCTGACCTGTGCTTCCTGACTGGTTGCAGGTCTTGGGATGGTTAATTTGGCATATTTGTTTTCATCTAAACTCTGAACTAGCTGGCATGATCATATATCACTTACTAACTTCAGGATTTAAGATTAAATTAAAATAATTAGGAAAGTATGCCTACTGATATATATATGTACAAGGGGGGAAAGAATTTTCAGCTTTTACTATTCCATGAGTATATACAA